AGTAGCAGTAGCAGTAGCAGTAGCAGTAGCAGTAGCAGTAGCAGTAGAAGTAGCAGTAGCAGTAGTAGTAGTAGTAGTACTACTACTACTCCTACTACTACTACTACCACTACTACTAGTAGCAATGGTAGCAATGGTAGCAACAGCTAGAGTCATGTTAGCAGTCATTGTCATGATGGTGTCGGTCGTGGTGTTACGACTGCAACCACGAGAGCCACTACACCTGCTACGACTCTGCGGCTGCTTCTGCTACTGCCGCCGTTGACTATCGAACTAGTTTTTAAAGCACCCACCTACCAAGCTGCTGCTGCTGCTGCTGCAAAGTTACTAGTCAGTCACTACTGCACTGCTGCTACTTACATTGCTAGACTGCTAGACTGTCACAACTGCAAACCACTACTACCGAGAAGGGTCGTGCTCTTGTTGCAGCTGCCTGTCGGGCGCAATTTTCATAGGTTGGATGCGAAAGGTTGCCAGAATCGCAAAGTGGTCAGAGGGTGGGCAGCCTTCGATCAAGGTATCAACTTCAAACGCGACCACATCCAGCCGAGCGCCGCGCCACAAAATCCAGTCAATGTGTGCATGTGAAATGCCGTGCTGCCTCAGTCTCGCTGGGCAGCGCATTGCCGCGGCTTTGCGCGCATCCCAAGCGTGGAAGGACAAGAATGGCACATTCCTAGCACCAGACTGAGTACAGGCATCCTTGAACCCAGATTCCTCGAAGACTGCGAAAGCAGACTCTGCAGTTCCTGCAGTGTTTCTTTGGAGGCTGTTGAAGTCTCCGGTGATGATAGTTCCAGCATGCTCGCAGTCAGGTGGCGTCGTCTCCAAGCCCTGGATGGTGTCGACAATCAACTGTGCTCCTCGGATCCGGGCGCTCTCGGACCTGTGGTCCAGATGGGTGTTCAACACCAGGAGGCATGTCCGCAAAAGAGCTCTAGTCTCGACCTGGAGCCAAGCATAGGTTGCGATCCTGGGGCAGGCGGTTTCCCAGGACTTGGAGCCAATTTGGGATGGGGTTTCTGAGAGGGCAAATGAATCTTGAAGCAGGCAGCGGATTGCCGGACTGTGTGACAGGATCGCACAAGTTTCTCCACAGGGTATCAGGCCCAGGAATCGTTCTCGCGGGCACCCACAGGCGGAATAGTTGCTGCCGTTCTCGCGCAGCCTTTGCTGGATGTCCCCGATTTGTTGCTGCAGCCCCTCTTGGGTTCCGATAATGTGAGGAGAGTGCCGCAACACCACGTCTGCGACCGCTGGCAGCCTCTGCTCCCAACCGAAGCCATGAAGATCGTCGTCACGATTCTTATACCGAACATTGAAAGACATCACCTTCACAAGCATGGGGGTCTTGTGCAGGGCCCATGCCAGACCACAGCAGCCTGTGAAGGCCCAAATGAGCAGCCATGCCACAAGGCGTGTCGGAGAACAACGGGTGTTCCGAGCAGAAGAGTGTGGCTTCTTGCGTGGAGACCGGACGTGTTCAGTCAGGTTCCTCCGCAGCATCACAGCATCAGGCCGACAGGCAGAATCAAGTGGGCAAGTTCAAGCAATGCCACATGAAAGACACCCGAAGTGGGAATACGCTCTTGCACTCGTGGCTCACTGGACCACATGCTGGTGGGATAGGGTGCAGATCCACTGCTCCAAGGTAGCATCTGCATCATGCAGCTTTTCTCCAAGCCGGGCAACATTAACACAAAGCAAAAGACGCGAACAGGCACGCTAGCAGCATCTACTCTCAAAATGTGGACCATGAAACGATGTAAACCCTAACCCCGACGATACAGGTTGCTGCAGGGCAACATTATGCGGTTGATTCGAATCCCGAAACTTTGCAACATAAATTTTACCGCCCGATGGCCCGATGAAGTCCTGATGACCTTTGTCTACTGGCATCAGATCCGCAGATCCTACAGTACTCTCCGGCCTGTCTCGTCCGCCTGAACCATCCCGTCAAAACCGGCGCGTGGATGCCTGGGATGTACAGGTACATCTGCAACATCTGTAAATCCATAGTTCCTATCGGCAAAGGCAATCCGACCACTTATCGGTTGCGATGTGCTGCTGCATTCGGACGCTGCCTACTTTCAAGCTCGACGTTGGTCCGCAACGCAATAGGAGCACAGAAAGCTACTTTGGTGCAGGGGAATCTGAAAAGGTTCCGAACGGTGTCTGGATCCTGTACTGGCCCCGACTCTTATTAAAATCTTGGGCATATCGCATAAAAATTCGCTTTGCTGGGGTTGCGGCTCCAGTAGCACACCAGCATAAGCATCAGGGCGGTGACCTTCGCAACTGAGCAGTGCTCAAGCTTGGAGCTAGGCCAGCTTTGCCGAATGATTTTGAGCTAAAGCCCGCTCCTCAGCTCTAGACTACTAGAGGATCTATGGAGTTTGGGAGGGTTCAGGGACGGCGAACATGAGCCCTGCCTGGAGCGTGCTGGCCGTGCTCCCGCGGCAGGATCCAGCAAGGGCTTCTCGCAGCCGCCACAGCCAAACGGTCGAGGATTCGGATGCACCTTGCCAAGCTCCGAAACCCTAAGTCCGAACCCTCACGAAGCCGCTGGACCATCGGCTCATGCATCCAGTGTAGGGCCTCAGGGCTCATCTTGCAACAGTTCAACATATTTAGCAAGAGTTGAACCATCATGCAGCACGAGACCCTACTGCTTCACATGCGACGGAGCCATTAACTTAAAAAACTCCTCGACTGTACTCGGGTGTCAAGCTCCGCAGCAGGCACGACTAAGCAAGCAAAGGCCTAAATACCAAAATGCCAAAAGCCTCAAATTCCCCAAACAACCTCAGGACAAACGGCAGTGGCCTTGTCGCCGGGGAGAAGGGAAGATAGGGAAGAGTTTGACGCCCCGACATCCTGGCTGAGTTCTGTTCTTAGAAAGATAGGTCGGGCCTCGGGAGTCTGCTCACGCCATTGGCAGCAACAGTCGGACTTGCGACCTTCAAAGGTTCGGGGTCGGACATTGCCAGAGGTCTAGGTCGGTCTAAGTTCTCAGTCGCAGATGTACAACTCTCGACAGGTGTAGAACTCTCGACGACACGAGTAAAACTGTCTTCGGCCCAATGCCGAAGAACTGTGACAAGTTTCAGATATGCTGTGGGTGAAGCAAATCACCTTGTGAGGAGACCAGTTCATACTGCGACGGCAATATCAGGTCGAAAGACCAAGCGCGCAAGAACCCTATAGCAAGAAAGAGTTCTTCCGTTCACACACGCATCGACTGCCCACATCAACCCCAACACACACCACTCAGATCGAGTTCGATTTGATTGTCGCCTGCATCATTTCCGTGTTCGAGTGGGTGTGCTCCGTCATTCGCCATGTCCGACTTCATTTCCGTGCTTGCATCGGCTTCTTACGACTCGCTTTTGGCTGCATAACTGACCACATTTGCTGTTTTATCTCGTTCGCTGCAGCATTGTTGCATGTCAGCTTAGGGTCTCAGTCATTTCCGCTATCGCTTGTACGGACTTGATACATTTCCGTCATTGTCTTTGTCAGCTGAATCTGTTTTGTTTTCGATGTTCAGACTTCCTGCCATATATGTTAGTTCCAGTTTTCGCCGCATGTTTGATGCAGTTCTATCTTGATGTCTGCGTTCTCATTGGCTGTTTCCGGCGTCAATTTTATGGTTGAATGACCGATGCACTGCTGCCTTTCCAGATGCGTTGCCGTGTTGATCGGTTGATGCATAATTGTGGCATTTTCGGACTATAACTAATTTCCGCTTTGGTCTCAAACATGTCCGGATTGATTTTTGGTTGCGGCATGAGTGTGTTTCCTTCATTTCTGGCTTCATCTCGGGCTCGATATTTGAGGCATTCAGGAATTCCGAAAGCCGGCAACCGAAAGTGCTGTAGGTGCTCGACCTCCCCACCGAACTCGGCGCACAGTCGCATGTCTAAACTTCTATGTACCTGCATACAAGGATCGAATTATACAGTTTTGCACATGTATGTGTACATACAACTTCGCATACTCACGATATGACTGAACACTGATTCCAACAGAACATAACAGCCCCAAACCCTAAAGTGATCGCCACAGCTGGCATTCTCAAAGCATGGCATAGCATGACACTTCATGGTCTCAGACGTCAACTAGTACGTATCACAACAACATGGCACGATAGAACAGTCACAGACAACATGCCGGGTCTTGGAGAGTCGGAGTGCAGCTTCTGAGCTAAGAGTTTCCGCGACACCTCGCTTAACATGGCTTACTTGAAGATCTTGAAGCTGTGGCAACCCGTGAAGCTAAAGACACAGACAAGCACGCACATCCTGGCCTTCCCCAGAAGGTGTCGTAGAGGGGTTCACCAGGCTGCAAGCCACAAGGATGATCTGCCGCACAGAAAGACTTGCAGACTCGATTCTTGATTTCGTGCGGGAACCCGAGCAATGAGGGACCGAAGCAGCTCAGTGGAAGGCCTGTCGGATGCAATGACGGCCCACGACGAGCTCATTTTGTTAATGCGGGACTGGAGCTGTGCACGGGGACAGAGGTGTCACAGAAATGGCAATAACGATTAGAGAATCAACATGGGAAAACACGTGTGCACCCCCCGCCCTTTCCCATACTTTATCTGGGAGGCACATTGCAGCACTTTTGGAGAAATCACTTCCAGTTCCACGTGATGTACCCTGCGGGCCTGACCAACACAAGCGATGCTCCATAGAACCTGCCCAGGACGGAATCCTCATAAGGTAGGGGACTGCAAGTTCGTACTGTACAGGTGAAACTTAAACGGCAAAGAAGAGAAGAGACGTGTCATAGTCTTGGTTTTTTGCAGGGCAGCTAAACCAATCAGAGGTGACTGTCTTCGAACCATCCTTGAAAGAAACCATGTCCAAACATAACATTCGTGAAATCATCGATGACGTGGCCAGACCGTGAGGCTGAGTGAGCTTGTGTCATAACGTGGTACCAAAATATTGCTGCTGGTTACTGGAGCCATGATTCCAGTGCAACATCGTCCTAGAGCAGCAGCTACAATGCCAATGCTACAAGCTTCCGTGTGCACGGCAGCTAACAATCTGCCAAAGGATAGAACGGGTCACAGCACGAATTCCACAACCAAACGAAGCAGGTCCGCCAAAAAATGTTCGTTCATCGTTTTTTCCATACTCGTCATGGATTTCGGCAGTTAAAGCTGGCCTACAGCTCTGAGAACAAGGATGAGTAGCGACTGCCAGGACACGAAAACAACAGACCGAGTTAAATGACATATTTCACCTTTGCAATGAACCTGAACTCTGCACCGACGAGTAACGAAAGTAAACATGTCCAACAACCTCAGTCAATGTCCTTCATGAGAGCGATTCAATAGACATCCCGTGTGCGTGCGCTTTCTATCGAGGTGCTGGTACTTGCGCCACTGTCTCGCCTCTTGATCTTGCACCGCATCAGTAGCTAGTGGCTCGAGGGTGGCGTTAGAAGTAGTAGCAGCAGCAGCAGCAGCGGCAGCAGCAGCAGCAGGAGTAGCAGCAGTAGTAGTAGTAGTAGTAGTAGTAGTAGTAGGGCGGCCTGCGAAGTTCCGTCTCTGGCACAGGACACCCCTCTGCGCACGATGGAGACGTCGGAAAACACAGCAACCTGGAAATGGAATGCATCTGATGTCTTCCTACTACTACCACTACTACTACTACTACTACTACTACTACTACTACTCCTGCTGCTGCTGCTGCTGCTACTACTACTACTAGTGCTACTGCTAATACTACTGCTACTGCTA